CAGACATCAAGAGTAACAACCTGCTGTGGTGAAGAAAAAACGAGATTCCAGCTGAAGAAGGATATTGGAAAAACGGCTGGAGATGGACGGGATACATACGGAGGACATCGCTTAATTTGTTAAGAAGCAAGCCCTTAATAGGAATTCTCGTGGTGAAAAGAAAGGAAGTATGCTGAAAAACACACTGCCCTGATATTCGGAGACACATATAAGAGGAATGAATAGAGATTGGGAAGAACTAGAAAGGCAGGCACAGGAAACAGTTGATGGAAACATATTGACTTGCGCGCTATTCTCAGTAGGGGGTAACAAGCTTAAATAAGCAGGTTTATTTCTACTGTATATTCTAGCTTATTTCTGTACATAAACATTTATCCGGGAACATTGTTATTCAGGTTCATACTTGATTCACATTCCCCCGGTCATTGAGTACAAACATAAATAAAACACACTTTTCACAATAATTTGATGAACCATGACGATCATATTTTATGACCGATATGCAGTTAATAAGAGTAATAATAATAATTTATTCTGAAATAACAACATTTTATGAGAGACACATCAGTTTACAGGCTGGATCAAAATGTTAAAACTGCTAACAAATTTTCTGTAAAAGGTTGTTTAGTTACGTAAATATTTCACAAGATATACTGACTTCATATATATGGCTAAAATTTTTCACGTAAAATTGTAGATGTTTCAGGCTCTGGAATCTACAGTACGCTGGTTGGAAAGAGTTACTCCGGTTATGTTACTACGAGCCAGTGCTGGTCGAGAACCAAGGCAAGATAAATGCAGGTCTGCATATAACAAGCAGTGGTGAGGTAAATGTTTAATGATGATCTTGTAGAAATAATAATAATAATAATAATAATAATAATAATTTATTCTCAAATAACAAACATGTTACAAGAGACATGCCAATTTACAGGCAAGATCAAAATGTTAAGATTAACAACATATTTCTTTTAAAACGGTATACATTTACTGAAACATTTCACAAGATTCATTGTGTTCTTAAAGATGGAATGTTCAATGCGAATAATTGGCGCAAGTTACGAAGGTTGCGTTACGACAATCATCTTATGGACTGAGAAACGATTCATGGTAGAGATAGGTTTTCATATAACAAGAATTGATGCGGTAAATGTACAAAGGTATGGTTGATATTCGTCAGCTAATGATTTTACATGTTCTTGGGTAGGGTAACCAAGTCTACTGCAAATATCCAGACTAATATATGAGGAGTGGAATAAGGTTCTGAAAAAAGAGGAATAAAGAAGACGGGACGAGGAGCGGAACAGAAAATACGTTTATAGATAAAACAAAGGTATGTTTACTCAGACTTTTTTAATGTCATTACTGTACACCTGCACTTATGTAGGTTAATGAAGACAAATTATTAGTGAGATAACTATTGGGAAGTTAGTCGAAAGAATAGAGGAAATTCAGAAGTACCAAGTTGTTAGTAATAATGTTGATTTACAAAATATAATAAAGAGGCTCAGTGATATAATTTTTTGTTTTATATATTCTTTTTATTTTTAACTCTGAGGCTCAAGAAGTTATGAATGAGCTCTATTTTTAGTATAGTTATCCAGACCAGCTTGTAATAGGATTTCTCGGTAGGAAGTAAAAACCAGTGCAAGGTTACAGACATGAGTTGTAGACGAGGTTAACAAGGAAAAGTAACATCAATATCACTGATTTGTTACATCCTGCCATATCGTAAGGAGCCGTAAGCAAACAAAATGTTCTGCCACACAGACATGGGTAGATTGAGGTTATCGCCCCACTGTCATGAATGCTGGTCAGAAACTCCACCCTCCCTCCTTATGTGATGTTAGGCTCTCCTACGTTTAATGGTTGATTGTAAATAATGGTCTCTAGTCTACTCTAATTTTTTTTGTAGTTTGGAAATAGGAAGGACAGGGAGCTGGAACGAGGAGAAGGAGAAAAAAGAGTTGAAATAATGTTAAAAATTAATGAGTAAAGCGATAAGTTGGTAAGCAGGCAAGGTGTGTGGATGTTAATGAATTGGGGAAATAAAAATTAGTTAAACTGTTAATACGTAAATAAGAAGATACTCACAATTATACATGGTGTTTGAGTTCCTTGTAATTGACAGTAGTTGATCAGCATCTACAGGCTTGTCAATTTGTCTGTCTACTAGAAATATAAACTAAAACTGCTATGAAGATATGAAAATAATGATTGGAATTTAAAAGCAGAGAAAAGTCACGGTTAACACCTCAAAGGCGTAACCTATTGCTGTTAGTAGGAGCAGGGGGATTTGTCTACCATTTCATGATACATGTATGGGTGGTAATGAGAACACAATATGGTCATAGTCTATAATTAGTTTCTGAGGTTTATCTAAATATTTGGTGGACCATAAAAGAGTGCCTGGGGACTTTGTGTGAGTTCTGGGAATAGTCGATAAATCTCTTTAGAATCTAGCAACAGCATAACTAGT